GAGGGCCGTCGCGGCGGTAGTAACTCTTGAGGAATTGCAGGGCCTCCATGACTGCTGGAGACAACCGGTTGCGGCGAAGAGTGTCGGTCTCCTTGGCTGACGAGAATAGACGCTCGCAAGCTACAGAGGACGCTTGTGCAGGTAAAATGTCAAGAGCTACACGATAAAGCAAGGGGAAGGAATGCTTGTTGATCTGTTCTGCAGCATTAGTAGCTATTCGGCTCACAAAAGGGAGATTCACGCACCTGCCAATACCGTAGGAGATCCAATCCGTTCTCGATTCCATTTTGCACCACTGGTTCTTCGCAATAGCGGTCGAATTCGCGCAACGCACGCTTTCGATCGTCGGCTTCTAGGGCCTCTCGCGAGAGGCGATTCAGATCTCCGGCTGAATCTGCAGTTGAGCCAGCAGATTGCAAGTATGATGTGGACGATGTTCGTGTTTGCGATACTGATAAGTCTGACTCAGAGCTCGATGCGCTGAGACCAGCGGTACGGCGGAATCTTCGGCTAGTATTCCTCAAATTGAGGAATCCCCGGCCTTGTGCGAGAGATGCCATGGTAGTAGGGAGATCTGTTGAACTCTCAGGGACATTGGTAGCTTCGTGGATGCATTGCTGGCGACGGAACTGTGTGAGCTGTACAATATGTAGAATGTCAGTTGTTAGGCAGAGCTCAGCTGCAAACATGCACGCACCGTGTCAATGACCCATCGGCGTGCCTCCTCGCACTCCTCTTCAGTCCATTGATCCTCGATCCATCGGAACTTGATGGCTGGATTGATCACTGAGTGCGGGGTTTCAGTTAATGAGACCAAACACAAGGCAAGGCCACATACCAATGGCAAGAACATAGGCACAGCTTCTACGACTCCGTGCTACATATTCCTCAATCTTGGATATCCCAAATTCGATGTACGGAGAAAGATATTGTAACTCTATCTGTAGTGCACGCCAGAGCAACAGGACCTGCTCATATGCTGGGAGTGCAACCGGGAGTGTTGGGGTTTTCTCCGCAGAGAGAAGCTCTTGCACATGGTGTGGAATCCGTAGAACATCTTCTATATCGCAGGTCACCGTGTATTGATCCTTGTTCAGTAGCAAGGTATGCAGACCGGCTTGCTGGTATTTAGGTACACAGAACATACACTTGAGAGCCTTGGAAGTGATTCAATTGAATGGTTAGCCTTCTGACAATGATGTTGAGACTTGAACAGACCTCATTCGCATCCAATACACGTTCGAGCATGAGAGAAGTTGACGACCATCGGGTCTCGCAGTCACGCGTGAGCTGGCGCTCGGGAATTCTCTCTGGCCACACCTCTGAATCATTTCCTTGCCGGATGGTCTGAATGAGGTTTGAGCGCCGCTGACCGGATGACCGCACAGCGCCTACAATGTTGCGCACGCAGCCGACTGGATCGGTATCCAATGCGGCAGCATATGCTTCATGTTCGTCCTTGTGTGGGGTCGTAATATCAGGCAGTGCGCAGCAGAGGGTGCCACCGTGTGTCTTGATACCATTGAGAATGGCTTGTACTGCAAGATTTATGACATTGGGGAAGCATCTGTTGACAATGTCAATATACATGTATGTATGTGCCCATGAAACATCGGAGTCTCCAAGCTCACCGGCCATGATTTCCCTCGCTGCTGAATTCGATCCCTTCTTGTCGAAAATGCTCCTCTAGGTAATCCATTGTTGTATCCATGACGGAGGCATTGTCTGTGGTGCAAAGCCCAATCTGCAATGTATAGTCACTAGATACATATGCCGGCACAATGTGGTGTTACAGATTGCAAACCTTGTGTTTGATTCCTGCCTTGTCAAGCTCATTCCATAGGTTATGGGCGATGTTTTTGCCATTGTGAGGTCCCTCAAGGCGCCGGAACATCAGCATATGATTGCGTAGGGCAAGATCTCCCTTTGCGTCGTAGCTAACATAATGAACTGTTGCACACATAAATGTGTCTAGGTCTGAGTTTGACCAATCATCCCAAGTTAGGGAGATACGGCCGGGCGACTCCTGTCCAGGTATCATCAGTGCACCAGCACTCTTATATACATGTCGGCTCGATGCTCACCTTCATCTCCTTCCATATCATTTCCCTAGTTTTGCCATAGTGGCGCAAGGTGTGATCACGAATTGCCGTTCGGTGCGGTATATCCTTGTCAGTAAGCACCGTGTTCACACGATTAACATATAGGAGCAATTCACTGAACTATGGACAGTCCATGACATTCAGGGCCTACAAGGAGTCATTGTGAGCTAACTGTTTGGTGATTGCATGCGTACATTCACCTACCTGATCATCAACTGCTATCCACCTTAGTAGATAGTCTCAGAGTCGTTCCGATGAGAATGACTCCCGTTCAGGCTGCTGAGGTGCACTTCGACCATCTGATGGGACATCATAAGCATGCTTGAGATTGTGAGTTGTCCTTTCTTCCTTGTATATATCAGAGTGACGGCTTATGAGGTGATTTCGGATCGTGTTTGTGTTGCCTCCCTTGCCAAGCTTGTACACCTTCCAAGTGGGCCATCTAGCTAGATATCAGTCTCTGACAAGGCCTGACAATCGCATATCGCACT